GACTCCTTTCTTGGAGTTTACAATAGAGATTCCATTCGGGCTGGAACTCAGGAATCTAAGGCTTAGTGGTGCTTAAGAAATAAAACTTAAACAATCTTAACTAAAAAGTTATAGCCAAAGCTATCAAGATTCTAACAGTGTTGGTCCTTTAACGCTACCTAACGGCGAAGCTATCAAGGGCCTAAAGTACGGCCGAGCATAATAATAACTTGTGAGAGAGTCAAAAGTCTAACGCGCGCTGATCAGAATCTCAAGCTCTCTCTAACGAAGTCAGTTAAATCTCCTCATTTACATTTAACCGCGATTCTGAAAATACGTTCTGGCCGAAAGTTGTAAGCTGAAATTAAGAAAGACAGGAAAGTAACTTTTAACTAAAAATTAACTGTTAGAAAAATTAAGATAGCCCTTACAACTTAATTTGCGCGTTTCCGATTAGAAACTTTTTTTAAAATACAGTACGAAATGTTACAGTAACACTTTCAATACTGTGCAAAGCACGTGATGCTTTATAATGTTCCCGTTGAGCAAATATTTTGTCGAATAAAACATTCATGATGCATTTAACAAGTTTAATTTAATTGTTCCTTCCATTTACATGCAAAAGCTGTATAGATATTCTTTGATGGATCTAGATACGCATTTTGAAACTAATGCCGGTTTTTGATTCATACGGAGCCATTTATGTCCAAAACGTATTATGAGCATTCTTCATTTGTTCGCAAAAGTTAAGAATTAAGTTTTGATAAATAATGGACATTGAAAACCTATTGAGATCAGTAATACATTCTCGAATACGGTTTCTAAATTTGCGGAAAATTATAAAATATGCGGAAAGTTTCGTATTCAAGTTACTAAGCACCACGAGTAGCTTATTTAATGAAATACATTAATTTAAGTGGATCGTGCAAAACTCAAAAGCATATTTACAGAACATGTAGTATTAAAATTGATTTAAAAATCCTGCATAAATTCTTAATTGAGAAAAAGGTGTATGGAATCAATATTAAAGAGAATGAAATTTGTGACTGCATTTATATAAGTTTGTAGTGGTATCAAGTAAACAAGTAGTTTGTATCAAAAATGTCTATAGCTTATTATTTGCATAGCCTGAAACTGCTATTTAAATATTTCAGAGCTGTTCTAAAAAAATATACAGAACTGTTACTGACATAACTGAATATTAATTTAAACTCTACAATAAAAGCGACTAATTTAGCTGTATCCTATAAGACTAACTTCTTTTTATAACGCTCTACAGACATAATATATTTAATTCAAATAGTACGCTATTAAATGCTTAATGAGGTTTCTTGAAACTGGGCAAATATCACTTTCTTCTAAGTAACACATTGCTTTATTAGTATTCGTGATATATTAGTCTTACAAAACAGCTATAGAGCTGGTATGACTAACTGAACTTCTTGTACCTCCATTAGAGGCTTAACAAGGCTTAGTGGTGCTACTTAAATAATGAAACGTTGAAATCTAAAACAAGGCCTAAATCAAACCCATAAGCAGCAGAACAACCACCATACTACCTGAAATAACTTTAAATAGAATTAACAACTAAAATATGAAATTGGTAGTCTAGAAGTCTGGAAGCTGGTGAGATTTACTAGCTACACCAACAAATAATACATCATTACATACTTTGTAAAACAAAATATAATACATGCTACTTACATGCATAAAAATATGTTACTAACTGAATATCATAAACACCCCAATTTTTCTTAAAACAGACAGAGAAAGTTATAAACACAATCAATATATAAATTCGTTTCATATACAGATACATATTTTATGAAATTTGACAGTTTAAAATTAGTCACTATACTTTTACATATATCCTTTAGAGTAGTAAATTTAGCAATATTTGGAATAAATCTTAGAACAATATTTTTCATAGAACATCTAAATAACAGGTGTTCAAGATCGACATTACTCATGCCACAGAGACAGGCACAATTTTTAATCGAAAACCTATTATAATAAAATGGGAAAGGGCCACTATTAGTTAAAGCTTGGTTAAGATACTTGTCATTTAATCATCTTCTCTCACTTACAATTGAGATTAAATTATATGTGAATCTTACTTTAGATTCTGGGTCGTTTCACTTTGCTTGCCAAAAAGTCAAACTTTTTCTTTTCAACAAAGATTTCAAAGTGTCAAAGAAAATCTTTACTTCAAAATCAATAATTTGATTTTCAGTGGCAGCCTTTGCCAATCTATCTGCTAACTCGTTACTAATAGTCCTAATACGTATCTTCGTCCAAAAGAGTTTAATATCTCTTAAAGCGCTAAGAAAAATGAGCATATCTTTTATCTGTTTAATTAAATCGTTACTTGGACAAACATCAGTGATTGAAACAATTGCGCTTTCGCAGTCGCTATAAATTTCTACCGGATCTAGCGTAGAATTTGAACTAAGCCAATATAAGGCCTCTCGCAGAGCCACTAACTCCGCCTGATATACGGAGGTATTGTCAGAAAGTCTATATTTCCTTTGTATGCACAGTTTCTCGTGTGAGAACGCACAAAAGGCCTCCCCCACATACCCATTTAATTTATATCCATCTGTCAAAACAGTGTAGCCTGTCATATTAGGGAGGTCTTTATGCCAATTCAACCATTTCAATGAAGCTGAATGAATATCTAATCCTTTCTCAAAAGTCAAAATCTCTAGCTTAAGAAGACCTCACTGAAGCAATCGACAGTTTTATTACCAGCTTTTAATTTAAAGGTAGCATATTCTTTTTCAACTAAAATATCGATCGAAAGACATCCAGACAAAATATGAAGAGCTACTGTGGGAACAGTTCTAAAACACTTAGTAATCCCCAATAAAGCGATTCTTTGAATTTATAAATTTTGTTACGTATTCGGACCGATCCAGTGCACCATGCGCCACATGCATACAAGATCTTTCTCTCTATAGCTCTTTTATACAAACTATTAAGAACTTTACCTTGGAGATTCATTTTACTAAGTCTATTAAGAATATGGGTGCATTCGATCTTTATTTGATTTAGGTCAGGTATAAGAGTGAGCTTTTCGTCGATTGTAATGCCCAAATATTTGATTTTCTTAGAAACTCTAATTGGTTGTCCATACAGTTTATACCAGGGATGTATTGATCTAGTATTAGTTTTGACAATACCCATAAGAAAGCTCTTCTTTGGATCAAATTTAAGCTTAACATGGAAAGACCACTTCTTAAATTCTTGAGTGGCGAAACTTAAGGCTTTATCAATAGTAAGACGACCACTTCCGGTGACCAATAAAATAAAATCATCAGCATAATACATTTGTATACTAACATTTGTATACACTAATGTATACTAAAATTTTGTGGTAAAGTTATGTTTAGAGCTATATTAGCGATAATATTCCACAAACGTGGACCGGATATTGAGCCTTGAGGACAACCCCTTTCGTAATTTTTGTAGTGCCACTTATTACCATCATTTGAGGAAACTTTTCTTTCATTCAGAAAATCACTTATCAATAAAAAGAAGTTTCTTGGAATTTAATATCTTATAACTCCTTTAATATATAATTGGTGACAAAATGTTGTTGAAAGTGCTCTTTACATCTAAGGATAAAATTGCAGCATGTTTGCCATTCCTTCTATTTCGAAGGATGTCAGAAATTAAATTATCTATAGCATGGGTAGTACTTTTACTCGGCGTAAAACCAAATTGATTTTTATTTAAAAGATTATTTGATAATGAATAATTAACCGTTGTGTCATGAGTTTATACACCACCTTGCCCCAGGAAGGCAGTAAACACATGGGTCGAAAAGAGGAAGGATCTTTACGTCCTATTTGCTGGTATAAATCAATGAAAGCTGGTATAAATAATCAGTAGAGCTGGTATAAATCAAGGAAAAAAGTTTCTTCATGAGTATAGTCTTAAGTTTTAAAAAAGCAGGGTCATGTTAATTACTACTCAAATTACAGATATTAATTTAATATTCGTTAATGATATAGCATGCTGTTTACTGCTTTTGCGATGATATCCTAGATACGATTCTCGGACTGTAAACCACTAAAAGAGCTTGATAAATCCTGCATAAGGTATTCATACACAGTATACGGAGTACCACAGCGCAAATGCTTTCATGTTATCTCGTATAAGATCCATTAAATAATAATGAAGATTTTTTTTAGCCCTTCGTTACATTCATAGTGTATATTTTTCATAAAAATGGCCCCTTTTAAAGGTTACTTCTGCTTTTGTTTTGTAAAACTGAAAACGATTAAAATTTAATTGAATTAAAAATTCAATAGGTTATTAAATTAATTAGTTGAATCATATACATCAATATGTTCTAAAATATTTGTATTTATATTCACATTTAAAATTAGGATTTAAACGGTATATAAATTTTTGAGATTTTCATTGATTGGTATTATTTTAATTAATTTGGTATTTTAATGGCAATGTGCATATTTGAGAAATTTATCTAACTATAAGCAAAGGATCGCATATTATATCAATACATAAAATTCTGCATTTAAATTAATATATTTTTATCCACGCGATAAATAGTCAGAAGTATATTTCAATTATGTCTAGATTCTTCATTTTTTCTTGCATTGCATAGATCAGTACCATAAATTATAATTCTAAATTCTCATCTCTATGATTTACGTTATCAAATATTTTCTAACATGAAATTTAGAATTTTTGTGGAAAGGAATATATTTTTCTTTTATAGCATATACGTTTCATAAAGGTGGTAACTATTATGTTCAAAATTGGATTTTAAAAATTTGTAATTTACTACATTAAAATTTTTACACAATAGCAATAATTAAGTAAATACATAATAAATAAATAAACATTACAAGATAAAAGTTCTAAACTAATTTCAAAATATACTCTGTCAGCTCCAAAAAAATGGTAGTAATATCAACAAATTAAACCAAATTTTAAATCTAATACATATTCAAAGCAGAGCAGTTTTATATAATTGAGAAAATATTTCTTACGTTAGATCGATGTTCTCCAGATGCTGAGCTGGGTTCGAAAACATTGATCTGCTAACGCTCCTGATTTGATTGTTAGCTATGGATATACTCTTCAACTGTGACAGTGTGGAGAATGCAGCTATTTCGAGTTCGGTTATACCATTGTTATCTAAGACGAGAGTACGAACATTAGGTACTTTTCCATTCAACCATGTATCTTGGACCTTCGGCAGGTGATTGAACGCCATTCTAAACTCTTCAAGTTTACTAAGGCGTGCCAAAATGAAATCATCTTTACTTTTGATCACAGAATGTTTTAAAACGGACAAGTACTGCAAAGTATCATCCAAACCTGTAAAAGCCGGCTGTGAGAATTTTAGTGTGGAATTATTAACTGTTACTCCGCTGATATAAGTGCCATGAAACAAATCATTCGGCAATACGTCAGTGATGTATAAATGATGAAAAAGGACTGTAGTCATGTAGTATTCGCGCATGATTTTAAAAGCTTTTAAGAGACTGGAACTGGAATTGAAATTGGCACATCCGACAAAGAGACCATAAGCTAATTGTCTGCAATAGCAAGGTTCCAAATCTTCCTTAGGAGGGCAAACCATAATAGCACAGGAAGCAAAACCAACGAATAACGTAGAAAGATAAAATACTGGAATTAACATCGCCATTGAACGTACTTTGAACATTTCAGAAAGTAACTTCATTGCTGCAACCTAAGTGAGGGAATGATCAGGGCAGCACTTATATTAGGTAGGATTTACGCTTTATCTGTGTCTTGCGGACAGGGTTTATCTGATGTTGTCGAAATTTCGAAAATTTCTGTTTTTATTATAATACAATTTATCGTCTGTGACAGCTTTGAGGTAATTGATAAGCTAAATGTCCCTTGAGAAAGGGAAAAGCTGTTTGAAATGAAATTTACTGAGCTTCATTTTAAAATATTTAGAAAAAAGATTGCCGTTACAAGAGCAGAAATACATTCATATCACAAGTTCAGTGAAATATGAAAGCAAGTTATAATATTAATGCGATTCCCAATAATTATGCAATTTCAGTAATTAAAAAAGATTTGGCTTAGAAAGTAAGAAGAAAACTGAATTGCTAATGTAATTTTCTCGTTAGATTAATAGTTACAATGTTGCAACACCCAATAATTATTTAACTCAATGAAGCTTTTTGCTTCCTTGTACGAAATAAAAAGGAAGTATTGTAATCGCGAAAAATTTCAGACATCATATTTCAACGAAAATACCCATTTTGACATCTATCGAAAGCAATTTAAAGATGTTTTTGCGTGACATCCGTACGTAAGGACAAGATGAAGGACTCGTTTCCCCCTAAAAAATTATAAAACTGATTTAAAATGAATTCTGAAGAGAATTTTTCGTGGCGGGTGTGCGTACGTATGTATCTCGTATATCTCAAAAACGACTAGCCTCAGAACGTTGAAATTTTCTATATAGGACTGCTATAAGATGCAGATGTGCACCTCGTATTTTGGCTGTAATCGGCCGCACAAAAAATATATAACTATACATATATATATCTCCACCTTGTCATTCAGCTCATTGAGCTCAGTTTCTTTATTCTTATATGTTTGTAAATTGTGCATTTTTGGGTTTAAAAATGATTGAATTATGTGGTTCTGGTTAAGATTTTTATGCCTTTAATTAAACTGCATGGAATAATTGTGGAATTATGAAGAATTTAAAAGTTTTCATGTGCGGCTAAGCCTAATTTTTGATTAGCATGGCGCCATGTTTATTTACAATTGAAACTTAGCAGAATATTGTGTTTTCTGCGAATCTAGAGAAACTAAGCTTCGCAACAAAGTAACGTCTTCTTTTATTATTGTGAGTAAAATAAGGCTTAATTCATCCTGGAATAATCATTTAAGTTATTAGCTTGTTTTTACGTTGAAACTGTAATTTTAATTGTAAAAATTGTTTTTTTAATTGTTTGTATTTTTGCCTTGCCACAAAATGAGACCTGAACTAATTAGTAGCGCATGCGCATTAGGTAAGCGGCGAAAAACTGTTTCTGTTTTTAAGACACAATAACACGCCGAATAAGTACTAATTCAAAAGTCAAACAACAAAAATCAGCGTTATATTTACAAAATTTTCACAGGACTAGTTTCGATGATTTTACCGAACCACCATCCTCAGCTGCAAAACCGCAAATGAACAAGATAGGAAATAATGATTAGATAAGATAAGAAAGCCTGGACAAGAATAAGCAAGTGGCGCCATCTGTTGGTGAAACCAGAACTAAAGCATAATTTCTTTAAAGGCCGAAGGCAAATTTAGATTGGAATTAGGATCGTTAACTAGAACAGAAAGATTTTTATGCATGTGAAATGCCTCTAGAAAATCCAGTTCTCCAATGGAAGATGTTTTTTGAATCATTTTGGCAGCAGAAAAAATTGAAAGTGTGATTTTCGGACAAACAATGTTGAGCAACAGATGACTTCTGTGTTTCCTTTTTTCTAACATATGCCTCATATTCCTTGACGCGAAATTTTAAGGCTGTCTTAGTTTGACGAATGTAAATTAAACCACACTGGCAAGGAATCCTATAAATACCCCAGGAATTCATATCCGGAATGGTCCTTGAGTATGGAACTCGGAATTTTATTGATGGGACAATAAACAACCCGAATGTTAAATTTTGCAAAATATGTGCAACTTTATAGCTGATTGATGGAAAGAAGGGAATGACAACAGAATTTTTATAATCTCCTAAAACAAGAGTGTGCCTTTTAGTGCGTTGAGATGAGAATTTTTTAACTGCCTGATTAAAAAATGTTGGGTGAAAAGCCCCTGTCAATAGCTATTGCTTTTAAATAATTTAGTTCTTCATCAAGGGCTAGTTTGGAGGAGCAAACTTGAAGAGCACGGAAAACATAGAAATAAAATGAAGCTAACTTTTGTTTAGTCGGATGACATGATTTAAAGTGTGGTGGAAGGCAAACCGATGAAGGTTTACGGTAAACTGTAGTAATGAAGTTGGATGTGTTACGTGTGACCAGAATGTCGAGAAACGGAAGAGAATTGCAAGTCTCAAGTTCAAAAGTGAACTGAATAGCAGGATCAATAGAATTCATTGTTGAAAGAACTCTATTTAAATCATCTTTATTACCTTCAAACAGGGTAAAAGTATCGTCTACGTAGCGGAACCATGCCGGGAAGTTTAAAGTTTCAAACAATTTTGATTCATAATAATGCATGTAGATATCAGCCAGGATGGGACTGAGGGGGCTTCCCACGGCTAATCCCTCAGTTTGCTCGTAATATTTATTTTGGAAAACAAAATGTGTTTGTTTCAAACAGAGTTGAGTGAGAGAAATTAGCTCATCAATTTCGATGCAAGAGAAATGAAATTCGCGAAGTCTGGTTTCTAGACATCTTAATGCACCCTCCACTGGGACATTGGTGAATAATGATTTTACATCAAAAGAAACCATGAGTAAAGTACTAGAAGAAATGTTTTTTAACCTTTTTTACAAACTCTATTGAGTTTTTATAGTGTAAGTGTTATTGTCTAATAGAGTGGAAAATCTAGAAACTAAATAGTTAGCTAATGGATACGAGGCAGTACCTAAATTTAATACAATAGGGTGGAAAGGAATACCACTTTTATGAATTTTGGGAAGAGCATATAATCTGGCACAATTCGCAACAGATGGGATAAGCGAATGTTTTAAGTTGCTTGAAATGATTTGCGAAGATTTGATCGCAGTTTTTATTTTTGACAAGTCCGAAGGTGAAGGAACTTTAGGGATCGGATTATATGGTCCTTCGTTTAAGAGTTTAGTGTCACCATCGATGTAAGTGTTCTTATCCATGACGATTATATGGCCACCTTTGTCGGCCTTTGAAATAAAAGGCCTTTGTCGGCCTTTTTCGGTAAAACCATCCAAACCGGGCCCACCAGCGGCCGAGCGGTAAAGTCGCTGAACACTGGTAGTTCGGTCCGAGGTTCGAATCCTGCGAACGGGCTGGCTGCATGGGTGTTTTCGTGGTTTTCCCCATGTGTAACGTGTATACGAGCCAGTTTCCCTTAGAAAGCCCTCCACGAAGGCATCCTTCTTCTTAGGCAGATAGCCCTAGAGTGCTTTGCCATAATTAAATACACCAATACACCAACACGATCGAAACTAGTCCTGTGAAAATTTTGTAAATATAATCGCTGATTTTTGTTGTTTGACTTCTGAATTAGTGTTTCTATTTTATTTGTTTAATTTCCTTTTTATATAGTTTTAGATTTATTATATTATTTGAATAGAACTTCTGGTAATTCTGCAGACGATATAATATTTGTGCACTCTGAGTTATAAAATGAATGAGATGTAATGCTTTTAAGTGTACGTAGCGCCGAAGTGTGGCTATGGTAAATAAATATTGTGAATTTTAAAGCATGCATTTATTCTATTGTGGTTTATGCGCTATCCACGAAGTACATTTAATTCAAAATTCGTTAAATGTTAATTCAATATGTTTAAATAAAATGCAGGAAAATTGCGTATAATTTAATTTTTCGTACAAGGAAAGTCATGTGGTGTGCACATCAGAATTTTTTATCAGTTGATTTGCGATCAACTCAGTTTGAAGTACCGAAATCTGGATGTGGGACTGAGGTACGGTTAAGCAAAAAGTCGTAGAAGGGAATTTTACGTGTGTTTTTTTCACAATTGTTGTTTTATTTTATTAATACAATTATTAGTCAGCTCACCTACTATTTCATCATCAATGAGGAATTAATTTAAATTTTGTTTTCTAGTTATAATGAAGGATATATAATGAAGGACAATTTCATCTCTCATCATCGGTCACTATTATAAAAATAGTCATGGACAAACATGATGACATTAAGCATCACATACTACGAATTCATTTTTGGATTTACTTGAAACAGGAAAATGTATTAAATTTTTTTTTAGCTTTGATATCCAACCTAATACCTCTAAATCTTCTTGAAAATACTAAATTTAACTTAGATGTTCAAGAAACGTTATATTTTAAATGTTTGGATGAAAAGTGATTTAAAAATTATTACTCATTTTGATAATATAAAATTAAGAAATGAGAATTTTAAGTAAAGTACATTTTGAAATTTAATAATATTTTACTAAAATTTAGATGAATGTAAATATAGTAAATTTTATGAAAGTGCTAATATAATATCCTGCTAATATACCCTTATAACGCTAATATAAGATCCTGCTAATATACCCTTATAACGCTAATATAATATCCTGCTAATATACCCTTATAACGCTAATATAATATCCTGTCACAAATAAAACTTTTTCACGAAAGTACAGTATGCTCATTTTCAGGAAACCCTTTTTAAATCCTTCACAGACGTTTAGACAATATGTATCTAATAATAATTGAAAACTTGTTGTTGTATTCATTACAGAATTGTTCTAATCATTATAGAATACTTTGTTCGCGTTTTGTTCTTGTTATAGTTTTATTCAAGACTCTATTTAAAATTAACAAACAAATTAATATACTAATATGAGAAAGATAAATTTCCTTCCGGTAAGTATTTGTAAATCAAAAATTATTATTCTCGCTGATGCGGAAGGTTGTTTGCAAGTTAGCTTACATGTTAAAAAAAAATTACAAAACAAAACTTCAGAACAAGAGTTTATCATTTAAAGCAGAACAGATAATTGAAACATTTGTGAGTTGTATCTTAAGGTAATAAAAAGCAGACTATATTTACAGTAACGAGTCAAAACATTAT